ATGCATGTCCATGTAGTTTCCTGTTGTGTCTATTGTTTGTGTATAATTCAGCAAAATGAAAGACACCACTGAGACACCAAGATTGCAAGTCATTGTGGGGTCACATTTACATTTTGAAGAGCATTCTCATTTCTTGCCTTGGAAATGTACTGAGACGCTGGCAGCTGACACGGTGCAAGTTTCACATTTCTAATGACAGTGGAGCTGTGAAGTAATCAGCCTCTTTGCCTGGTACTGGGGTTTCTAATCCTATCTTGTGTTTGCAACTTCTCCATGTGTAACACAAGGACTCTCGATTCATGAAGCAAACATTGTAGCAGATTCAATTAAAAAAGATGCAAGACTGGGTAAACACCTGGCAGATGATATTCGATGTGCTGGATATTCCATGCATCTGGCAAAAAACATGAAGTATAATTACGAAATGCAAAATGTTGAGAAACAGGGTGCTGCTTCTGAAAATGGCTTAGGTGTTTATGCTTGTATTTTATCTTCTAGACCAGTGTTTCTGGTGTGCCTTCAGGCATTAACGTGTTTCATGCTTGGTGTATACAGATAGAGGGCTCCTTCTAAAACCAAACAGGAGGGAGTGGGGTATCAGTTCAGTTTTTCTCATCTGATGGACATAAAACACAAAAACAGAGAATATCTGAAAGCAGCCGAGCAACAGCTCTGTGTTTCCCTGTCGAGAATTCCTGCCGGGATAAGGTGACTGTGCACTTCGTGGGCGACTCATATTAAATATTGAAATAAGATTTGTTTATAATGTTAATAACAATGTACAGTATTTGGGCAGGTGATGTGTCTGGGAGAAGAGGCTGGGTGACGCAAACCCTCTCGATTTCTGTAAATGTCCTGGAAGAGGTTGAGAAACACTGTTCCAGACAAAATGGGGAATGAAGCAAAAAAGCAAACCAAATGTTAGTACACATACAGTAGTTAAAAACTTTTAAATCAAGGAATGTAAATGTTAAAATTATATAGCACACTAGTAAGGTCTTGTGTAGAATGCTGTGTACAGTTTTGGTCACCATCCTACTGAAAATATATTGCTGCTCTAGAATAAATCCAGAATAGAGCAGCCAGATTTCAGGGATAAAATGAATGTCCAACACTGACATGCTGAAGAAACAGAGCTTCTTTAGTCTTCAACAATGTAGATTATGATGGGACCTGAACCAGTTATTCAAAACCCTCTAACGCACTGACAAATTCCATTCTTCAGAATGAACAGTAAACCATGGATCAGAGGGCACAAGCTAGATGGACATTAATTTGAGAACAGGGAGTGCTTCCTTACCCAAAGAGTTGTGGGAGTATGCAACAAGCCACCCAGCCACGTTGTTAAAGCTGGTATCTTTGGAGCAGCAACAGTAGCATAGCCGCAATGACATTTCCTCTTCCTCGCTATGTTTTTTTCCTCTGCATGTCTATTTTCAAACTTTAAAATCCAGCTTAATATCAAGTTGTTCTTCATGTGTTGTCTCTTGTTGCGATCTGAGGCTGGGAAGTTGGGGGGGGGGGGGATCACTGGTTTCGGAAACTGCTAAAATTATTGCTAACTGGCAGACTGACATTTAACCAAACACCCTAGTTATGGTGGAACTTCTCCTCCAATTACTCAGCATCAAATCTCGACTAGTGACTTGCTTGCTATAAAAGTTCAGGTGGGTAGCTGCGTCAGCACGCATAGGCTGTAAAGGAACAAGTAAGAGGTTTATTCCCTGCTGAAAACAGAAGAAAGAAAACACAACGTTTCGGCCTTGGAGCCTTCTTCAGGTGAGAGCTCACCGAAACATTGTGTTTTTTTTCTTCTCTTTTCAGCATGAAATAAACTTATTACTTGTTTCTTAACTTGTTGAATATTTAGGCTAAGCAGTTTTAAAAAAGCAGTGAATTCTCTGGCTACATTTTATAAATAGAGAGCATGAAAGTATTATTCGGGTATGATTTGAAGTTCGTAATGAAATTATCATTCTTCAGTTATTTGTGCGATTTCATTGGCTCTGTGTGTTGCTCCTCCTCCTTGTTTTTAGGAAGATACAAAACGTTGTGTTTTCTTTCTTCTCTTTTCAGCAGGGAATAAACCTCTTACTTGTTCCTATGCTTGCTATAAACTCCTCATGCCAAACCTATAAGTGCAACTTTGCCAGTTACACAAATCAAACCTCAGTTACTTTCAGAGTACACCATGCTCAATTGAGAGCTGCCCTCAGAACTCCAAAGTGCTGTGACCTGCAGGTGTGCAGGAGACCTTATCCTTGGTCAGATGTCCAAAGTGCTTAGCTGGTCCACTCTGCTTTTCATGCTGCAGGATTATATGTCATAAAACAGAATCACAGTACAGCAGGAGAGTGGACACTGAAGAGTGCTCTGTAAAGTCCAGATGTTAATATCTGCGCCTCCGATGACAGCTGTGGTAATGTTTTGGAATCATGCAATAGAGGGAAAAACTAAAGCCAAAGATTAGAAATTCTTCTAAGTTTTTGATACTTTGCCTGTAATTCACCAGATCCACCTTTAGATCAGGTGATCAAAACATTATTTATCTTGGATGTTTTGCATAAGAAGTTAAAACCACATTCGCTGACTCTCTGGCAAGTGAGGGTGTCCCCAGACTCCCAGACACGGTTTGATTTATAACGCCTGATGAGCATTTTTAGTTGTAACAGCTGTTGGTCTGAGTTCAAGATGAGACCAATTAATTTGCAGTGACCGGGAATGGACTCATGGCTGTATCTCTGCTTTTCTGTTTCCAGAGGAGGTGGGCTGCCTGTGATAGGCGAGAATTTCATTTCAATAATGGCTGTGATTTGGGTGTGGAATCGCTTGCTTTCTTTTTCTTTCTGTGAACACAGATCAGATAACCATCAGCTAAAACAGTCAAAGCCGTTTGGCAGCTCAGGCAGTAATGATAATAGTGTTATATCAGCCTGGGTAGTACCTTTAACAGAGGTCTGAGCTCAGTGCTTATGAAGCATATTTTAATGTTGCTGTTGTGTGAAATGTAATATTTTTATTCATGAGTTTGAATTTTAGTTCTTGCCTTAATCTTAAAATCTTTTTACATTCACTGTAAACATTCACTGTCTTGTAAATCTTTGTGTTTGTATGTCTACATTATTGCTGTTCTTATTGTTTGATAAGGGCTGTGAATGTGCAATCCTATTATTTGGTTCCTGACATTTTAAAAGTTATTTTCTAATGTAATACACAGATAAATTTAGTTGATAATGTCAGAGCTGTTCTAGCCCTTGTAATGTTGTGCTGAAGGCCTGAGCTCCAGGGAAGGAATATTTTTATTAATTGGGCTCGGTTTCACTGTCTTTTATACAGACCTTTAATATTCAACTTTAAACATAATTTGTTAGTCACATATTGGAAGAAACATCTAGCTAACAGGCATGGTAAATATGTTAATACCTATAACTTTAAATGCTCAACAAGCATAAATCACACATAGGATTTAAGTGGGTGGATGGTATGCTGTGTTAGTTCATTGGGTGTTGTCAAAGACTTGTAAATGCACAGATTCACACTTCTCTTTCATTTAAATGGAGAAACAGTACTCTCACACCATGCAGAAACCAGACCTGACAGCCACCTGCATTTCTAAAGCGTCTGGGAAAGGTGCACTCAATCTACAAATCCCTCACCCCTCCCAGAGTTGCTTAAATAAATGGGTATCGATAGATTCACAACCACAAAATGTTTTTGAACCAAGACCACATTTTATTACCACAATTTACAAGTAGCGCTATTTACCGTAAACGTTCAATGTTATTTTTACGTCGTCCAGTTCAATTTATACTGTTAACTGGGTTTACGTTGCGCAGTGCAGTATCGCTAGATTACCCTAGGCGCGATTATTGCTAGTTGAAACTACTAACACCGTAAATCGACAATAGCTCCTTTCTGTTTGCAGAATGACGTCTAGTTTCACATTTTAGGTGCTATTTGTGCCAAGATCCCGTTAACACTAAACAAACAAGCCGCTCTCATTAAAGCAATCGTAACATGCAAAGAACAGTAAATGCATAAATACAAAGATACTTACGTTATTAAAACAAACAAATAATTGAATACCACCATGCCTTCAAGGCTGCTATCAGTCTTACTGGGTGAGTAATGTCTTCACGTTTTGTCCACTTCAAAAATGCACCTGCAGAAAGCTCTTGGGGTATCCGACAGTTGTTATTGAATGACTACCAGACAATAAACATGAACCGCAGAACAAATAGATGCGACAATTAGTAACCTCCCTCACCCCCTCCCTCCCAAACATAATCACTCTGGAAAGAGGGAGAAAAAAAATCTTCAAAAACTGCCCTGATGGTCTTTCATAGATTGTCCTATCAGGTGCAAACCACTGACAAGTTTCCACCCACCAACAAAAAAAACTCTCTGTACCCAAATCCAAAGGCGCAGATACTTCACTGGCAGACATTACACCATCTCCCGTAGTAAAGAACTGGCTGTAGCATTTTGTTATTCTTTATTTTATGTTTGCATGTAATGGATAGCTCGGCAAAATCCAATCCAATTCGAGGCATCCACCGGAGGTGATCGTTATTCTGATACCACTTGTTTATTTTTATTTATTTTGTGTTTGTTTAAAACAATTGACTTGAAGAAAGAGGGAAAAAATGACCCACGCAAGGTGTACATTTAGATGTCCCCTCCAGGTAAATTCGGAATTGAAGTTCTATCTGTGGAGCAGCGCACTTTAAGGAGAGAAAAGTGCACTCATCGCATTGCATTCTTGTCCGCAAGGAGAAACCTGCCAGTGCTGTGACTACAAATTGAATCCTTCCTCCTGTGCACAATATTATGCTCTGATTTACGCAGCTCGCGGGAAGCTAACTACGAAGACAAGAAAAAATATCTCCAAACTTCTTTTTTTCCCCCGATACATTGAAAACAAGGAAGCACCTAATGTTGCAAAAGTTGGGACGGTTTTACTTCATAATTTTATCCTTCCGCTGGGATTCCAGGAAACCTCCCGGATACTTATTGTAGAGAAAACGCGTGGCCATCTCTGTGGTTACCTCTGGGCTTTGGAAAACGGTGGAAACAGGTGTATCTGAGCAACTCAAGATGCCTCTTCTCCCTTCAAGGTTCATCTACGTGTAAGGATTCCATTTTTATTTCTTTCGATTCATTTAGTGTGTGCATTCTTGCCAATAGAAGTCGCTAAAGGCTAGGATTCAGTTGCTATCCAGGTGCATATTTATTCTGTGTAATCACATTTGATTTGTTATTTTTTCTTCCACCAGGTGCTTACATTTCCTAGTCCTCTACTTTCAAGTACAGGTAGGATTATTATTATTATTATTATTATTATTATTATTATTATTAAATTGCCTAGTTTATATATAATACTTTTAATATGTATTTGGAATTTGGAGCTTGTTTGTTTTAATGAAGTTACAGTGCAGAACTGTTTTCACCATACTATCCACTCCGATCAGTTCGTCATCGTTATCTTATTTAACAAACCTATACTTGCTCATTTAGAAAGGAAACTACTAATCCAGAGTTCTGAAAGAATTTACGTTACTGCTTGCTCTCGGATCAGAAGTTTTTATTTTTCTTTCGTCATTTTGTGGACACTTTACGTTTCGCATACTGTTTGTGGAAAGGTTGATATTGGAGTGGAATTGTGTATTTTCTGTTTAAACCTCACTAATCAATAGCATTTAGTTTTACAAGCAATTAATTGGCATTTTCCTGTGCATAGAGCCTGCAGCCTATTTGCACACATTTTGCTAAACGCAGAAGTGAAGTTTCGGGCAAAATGTGTTGTTAAAGGTAGTGATTTGTTCCAGTTCTATTAATGCGCCATAAATCATTTCATTATGAGATTGATGAAGTAATAATATATATTAGATTAGGGTCGAAGGCTGACATTCATTCATGTACAATTTGTATTTTTAACTTATTCACTGATGTGGCCCGAAATGTAAATACGAATGTTGCGTTAATTGCTTTAAAATACGTTGATATACATATGGAGTTGTACTGTATACCAAGTGAGAAATGCTGCCTATATAAGCTGATCACTCGTTTCTGTATTAGAAATGTGAGATACGTGAATGATGCCGATTTTACAAAAATATTCGTTTGACGTTTATGTAGATTTGCCTAAATCATTCGTGTTTTTTTGTATTTTTCTGTGTCAAGGAAACATTTTGTGAAAGTAACAGTCTTCAGTGGAATTCTATTTCACTAGTAGTAGATCGGGTAACGACACGTTCTTGGATTAAAATATGGTTTTTAAATCTCAGCAGGACCAAGTTCTCTTTAAAAAGAATGAATCATAAAAGGTGAATACGGAAAGGGGCTACTTTGTAACAAAGATGTTGACAAATACCATCTTTAAGAGTAACTGCATCATACTTACTATTTTAATAAAGATGCATTAAAGAGACAAAAGGTTGTGAACGCTGGAATTCTCAACAGAACAAGCGTTTAAACTAAACTAGCATTTGAAAAACAAAGATTAGATTTGGATATTACAAGCTTAGATATAACATTAAATGTCAAATATTGCGATGCTAATTTCAAGAACGCTAAATCTTACAATGGCGTTATCAATAAAGTGAGTATAAAGCCCGATATTTAAGAAAATAAAAGACTAATCTTTTTTACTCCCTTCTCCAACTTTCAAAAATTATATTGTACTAATCATTTTCCTGAATTCACCAATCAGACCACTGCCTGTACTTACAAAATTGGGTTACCTAAAATGTTAAAGGTTTATTGCATTGTGAAGCATGTTCCCGGTTCAGTCTGTATTTATTGAAAACGGTGGACTATAATAAGCAAAAGCAAATTCAAGAAAATAAAATCCTCGTACAATATTAGACCAAATCCATTAACTATATTAGGATACGAAAACCCTCTTTCTTACATATTTGGAAAGTCGACGTGTTTAAATTTAAAGTCATGTAATCGATTTAGATTTAGCGTTTCCTGAATTAAATTACGCGAAATAATTATTTAAATTTAAAGCCTAACACAGGCTTTAAGAGTCATTTTGCGATAATCAAAATGAAGTCCCCCCATTTTACCACCTTGAAAATCGTTTTTCAATGTGGATTCCTGTAACCTAATGCAGACATTCTTGCGCAATATCTGTATTTGTTTCGTCCAACAATGTAATACACAAGTATACACGAACGTATAGTGTGTTTTGGTACAAACCTAAACCGTTACATAACATGAATAGTTCTTCGTTGAGGTAGTTAAATGCATCCCAGTTATAATTTTCTTTTAACAGGCTCAGTCTTAATTCGAGTCACAGTTGTGAAATACAGAACCATTTGTCAAAAAGTCACAGATCAAGAGGGAGCGGATGTTAACAGATACACTGCAAAGGTACTGGTCATTATCTTTATTCTCTAGGCATTACAAACCTAAGGAAATAAACTGTCCTTTTAGGTTTGCTCAGGTGTTCATTGAACTCGCAACGTGATTATAATCTAGTTTTTATTTCTAGAACAGACGGAATTACCACGATGTACACATGTAGTTTGTTGTGGGTAGCGCATGGGTTTAAGATTATCGTATTATTTTTACAGTCGCAGGCGCTCCCAATTTCTTTCAAGATAGGAATGGATGCAATATTCGGATGAAGAGGAGTTAACCACATAAAGAGACAGATGGGTTGAATAGGTCTGCAGAATTGGTTATGTTCTTGTTATCACCTAATGTCGTTTAAAACACTAAATGCAGTACTTGACATTGGTAAATTATCTATCCCATTCCATTTTTTTCTCTGACTAGCGAATTTCCAATTGAAAAGCAAGTCAGCTAACAACACGTTTGAGTTTTCTGTTTAAATCAGTCGATTTTGTTAACAAGGGCCATGAGACGCCCAGTCTCTATAATCACCTTGCGTTGTGTGTGATAAAACCACCAGGGTGAATTCCATTTGGATTCGGGTAGTTAAATAGCCTGGGTTTGTCCGTAATCTGAGGAAATAAGAGATGAATCCCTGTTATATAACTGCTGTTTTTGTTCCGAAGGACGTGGCAGAGACAACACCATACTGTAAGCAGAGATTATTTTTAATTCACACTGTTTAGAATTACCGGTACTTTAAGTGCAGATTTGCAGAAAAAAGAATAAATATAAAGTACATTTTGACATCGCATTACACATTGACTCTTTCAAGAAATATATATATATATTAGAATTGCTGAGCAAAACACCTGTACGTATTCTGACACAAATGTAATGCAGGCAGATCGACATTAAGTTGTTCAGTTGCAGTAGAAATAAAGTCGCAAAGTTATTTTATTTAATTTATGTAGAAGAATATGGAGTACAAAATGAAAGGGAAACTATATTAATCAATTAAGGCATTTAAAAAATGATGTAAAGTCATGGTGAATCTGGATCCTGTGGCTAAAATGCATGTTTCTGCTTCACTGTTGTAGTTTCAGCACTCTGTACACTAAATTTAGAAGTAGTAAATTCTGAGGTTTTTGAATATATTTTTTTACCATAACCCCTGTCTATTTTTCCGTGTATAGGATTGTATTTGAATATACAGCCTGCAAAAATAAAACACGTTTGAGAGGTTTTGACATTTTGAAATGGTTTCCCAAACGTTCATTTCCCTGAAGCATGGTGGTTCTGTTATAGTGGCTATCAATGGTTATGGTCAGAAGCAAGGGATTATTACAGTCTAGTTAGCATATTTTATTTTAGCATATAACTATACATGTTATTTATGTTATGTTATTACATGTTACTGTTATTGCTATTGTGTTACTGTCTACTGTCTTATCTTCTGTCCTATTTATACTGTATACTGCACCTGAGTGACTAATGAGAAACACTTTTCATTATACTATGCACCTGTGTAAGTTTTATGACAATAAAGTTGAATTGAATTGAATTTTAGAGAACAGGCTGAACCAATTTCAAACAATAGGAGAAATAATGGCATATATGTGATGCACATCTATAATGGTGTCAATAGTTGTATAATTGGCGAAAAGTTACATTTTATTTTCACTGATTGCAGACGCAATTCCACTTTCTCACCTGTCCACTTGTATGGTTTCACGTTTTACCCCAAACCTTACCAATGAGTTTCACTGTTTCAACATAGTGTTGATCTTTTGTGCTCTTATATTTTGATACTTTGAGCGAAGTGTTCAATACTTACTGAGAAACAAAATCAGAATGTGATTCTAGGATCCCCTGGTAGGTTTTGACTTGCTCTTTATCCCTTTCACACAGTATAAAAAAAGCATGAGGTTTGTAACCACCTCTTAGAATAATACAGTCATTTTCTCAATAAAATGACTAAAGAGAATCTGTTAAAAATTAAATTGCTAAAAAATGAAACTTACATAATTCCATTTGCAAAAATGTCAGGTGTTTGCTTTTGTTTTGAAAAAGAAATGCAGACCTTTGCTTGTGACTTCATAAATATTACTTTTATGATTTTTAATGATGTGTGAAATGTGAATAATTCCTTTTTAAAAACAGCTCAAACACGGAGGCTCTGGTGTACTGGGAAACTGCTTTTTCCCAAAAAACGAAAATGAATATATGAAAAAAGCCTGAATTAAACCCAAGAAAGAGGTCTGTTTTAAACATCAGTGGAATAACTTGATACGTTTATCTCTGTGGTTGGTTCAGGTTGTAAGACAGGAAAAAAAAATCTAGAGAAAGCTTTAATATATGAATAGGTTGGACCTCGCTATTAGAGCCTGTTGGATATTTAGTTAAGAATTAAACAGCATCTTCTGGTAAAGACATCTCAATATGATTTGAAATTAATTGTGTTTTCGGAGTGCTTTCTGCACTGGAGTTTTTCAAGTAAAGATCTATTTCCATTCTGGTTTAATAAATGTCATTAATTCACTGAGGTTAAAATAACAAAGAGCCTGAGTATGTAATGTGTACATAATTAGCCACCTGAGAGAAGCCACATAAAAGGCCAACACTGTATAATTACTAAACAGTACAGTTCAAGGATTAGGTCTTGGCAAAAAGAAAGAACCAAAGAGTTGAAAATATAGATTTTTCTCTCCTTAATCACCTATAAAGACATGTAAAGACATGGATTTGTGGACGGTGTATGTGGGTGTTAGACCGTTCTTCCCTTTGTCCTGTTATTTCTGTGTTTGACTCAGTCTAATCCACAAAACTGATTAGTAGGGCTCATAGGGCACATAACACATCATCTGAAATGGCATTTATGGTTAAAAAAGAAATCAAACCAATTAAAAGTGAAGACTTCGTTTTTACGTTACTTGTGGCTTTGTGACACGCGCGCATGTCTCGTTGCCCAGTTTTACTCTGCCAACCCTAGGTTGGTAGAATTTACCCACTCGCTATGGAAAACTCCAACCGAGATAGATATTTGTTTTGTCATTGTATAGGGGGGCCCAGGCTTAGGATCTGTACAGGTCTCCTGTCACAGGGTCTATAATGTAGGTGGAATCTTGCTTTCATAACATGACTTAAAGTGCATGTGCCTGAGCTTTTTGTGTAACTAAAATAAAATGTCTGTGTGCACGATAAGACTTCCTCCTTTTGCATGAAGGGTCAGTCCAATATCTAGAGAATATTCTGTCATTTTCTTCATAAAATGCCACATGCTGCTATTGGCACATTCATCAACTCCAGTAATTTAGAGTTCAAGGTAATGAAAACACGTAATTGCAGCTGTGAATCAATACTACAGGCTCTAGTCAAGACATTGAAGAGTAAACTGGTCCAGAATTCTACCTTGCAAACCTGCAGGGGAGGACTTTGTACCCAGTCTGTCTGAAGTGCATCTGGCTCTTCAATGTGTTAACGTGCATCTCAAGTTAAAGTGTGAGATGTTTGAACCCTGCTGGGGTGACCTCTGCACTGCTCGCCAACCATGCATTCAGAATTTCTTTGTGATTTTGTTTCCGCAATCCACTTCAAGGAGTCTCAGCAAACGTCTGCTGACTTTCGGGTGTACGTTGAGAACCGCACAGGGACCCCGGATGACCTGAGCCGGAAGCAGATCCGGATATATCAGCTTTATAGCCGCACGACTGGGAAGCATGTCCAGATTCTGGGGAAGAGGATCAACGCCAATGGGGACGATGGGGGCAAGTATGGTACGAGCACGTGCTTGTGCAGAGCAGACCCGTTCTCAATCCTGTCTGAGCAGTGAATTCAGCGACAGTCCGTGCTGAGAGCCATCGGTGGTTGGAATGCACAGGCCGCAATCTGAATTCTGTGGCTATTGAATCATGCTGTCACAGTGATTTCTGAATTGGAACAGCCAGCAACAACAACACAGCAATTATGGACCTTTATGGCTGATGAGGGGACGGTGAAATCATATGCATCGTCCAGTTTTAGTTTATTTCTGAAAGAAAGCAACATTGCATGTGATGGGCGGTGCTGAAAATGATTTTAACGGACACGGTCGAAGTTAAAGTTTAACTTCCTTTTCTTTCGCGATGATGAGCATGGTTCTTGTTTGTAACACTTCCTGCGTTGCCTTTTTTAATACTGTTAGAATTGCTCCAGTTACGCAGGAATCCTAATAGCAAAACAATTTAAGACTGACGAAAAGAGCTGAAGGTACAAAAAAATCTATTCGTTGCAATTCTAACTTCACTGTGCTGTTCAAAGTGCAATTCCATTGTCTGCAGTAAAAGGCCGTTTACTTTCATAATCATCAAGTTGTTAGTGATAGAAAAACATTTCCTGAAGGTAGCAGTGTCATTGGAACATAATTATAAACTAGTGGGGTGATATAACCAGTAATTTAAAAACCATAAAAGACTATTAATCAAATTGATATAACAGTTAATGAATTGGCTGTCTTTTCTGAGAATCAGCACATGCTCAGTAACCCAGCTTCAGTGAGGAAATGAAGCATTTCAAGTCACATTTGCCACACAATATGGAAATTTGCTAATGTATTACCAGCTGAGCGCTCAACATTAGCCTGGTGTCTTTCATATTTTAAGTATTTCTTGCTATTCTTTAGTGTATTGTTCTTATTTATCTTTAAATAAAATTTACTGTCTCCTTATTTTTAAAATTTTAGGTTTAGCACATGGATTATTCACTGAGACATACAAAGCAAAAATTTATGTATTAGACACTGAGATAGAACAAAATTTGTGTTCAGCTATATTGAGTTCACAGATGTGATTCCCCATGGGGGCTGAATTTCTGTGTCATCCCACAAGCTTGTTACAGCTTGAGTGGAAGCAGAGCCAGGCTTTCCCATGAGCACTGCCAGCACAGCTCCTGATCTGGAGAACCACTGTCTCCACCAGGGTGAGAGAACCTCATGCCTCTCTGTAACAAGCAGAGCATTTCTTCTGAGCCAAGAAAGAAACTCTGCTTTGCTAGATCGCTGACTTGTGTGGCCAGTTTTCTTGACGAGATCATGGCACTTGTTGTCACTCCGCTGGCAGTGAAGGTCAGTCGGGATCTCACACCACGACTGGGTTTGCTGACAATATCACACTTTTCACACATCTGCGCAGGAAACTATAATACTAAGAAAATTCTACATAATGAAATAGGGAGGGGAATGAATACAGATCCTTAAATAAAGGTATTCCTGAATGAGAAAGGCTAGCTAAATAGTCCAACCTCTAAGAATTCTCAAAAAACCTAAATGTTAAATGAGGAGACTGTCACAACAATTTGAGTTAGATGACTTAAAATCTTTTTAAGCCTTTTTGTATTAATCCCAAATTACTGATTGCAGTTCTTACCGGTTTAGGGCACAGAGTTTAATTGATGATAAATGCAGTCTAAAGCTCATATCTCTGTGGTTGTAATGCAGTACACTGCAGAGGCCTCATGAATGTGATACAATTGTATACTTACCTTTATCAGAAGTCACACAACTGCTGTATTAGTAGACTGTATTTCTGAGGAGTTTATACATCTGCGTGTTGTAATTATTGCTGTTGTTCACAGCTTAGCACAAATTCTTATGTCAAATCAACATGTATTTTTTGCCATTTACTCTCTAAAACCTATATACATTTGCTTCTTATTTATAAGGTTATTCTGTTGTACCCAAGGCACTATTGTATCTTGTTATTAGGACAGATTATATAATTGCCATTAGCTAATTTGTTCACAAGTTTCTTGTTTTTAAATCAGTATCTTTAAAAGTGGTTGCTTCGTACACTAAGAGTTCACACAGAAAAGCAGGTTAGCCAATTGTTCAAATTGGCCAGGGTTTGCTTACCACTCAATGAATGAAGTTTTTCTAAGATTTAATTCTATTTCCATTGTTGAAAAAAAACTTCAGACTGTCTCATCAAAGACATAAAAGGAGCCTTCGAGTTTAGCTTTCAACTATTCTCTAAATGATTTACCTCCTTTTTGAATCTGAAGCTCACCTAGTCTGGGAAAGAGTCTGCTATTTCTTATTGCAGGAAGTTCACTGGAAGCTCTTAATGCGTTTTTTTTTCCTAACAAAAGGAGGCCTTCTAATTTTCTTCCACTTGTGGCTTCAGTAGTAACTGGTTCTGCCACTTGTGGTGTTCAGTGGAGCGACAGACGTTAAAGTCTCAGTAAAAGAGTGCAGCTCAAAGAAGCTCCTCCATAGCCCTAAGGGCGAACTCTAATCCCCAGTGTGTTAAACAGATAGACCATCTTTAACCTTTTAATTGAGTGAACAAGTACTAAAGAGACCCCTAAACATAATGCTGAACCTTCTGAAAAGTTCAAGCTGATTTTTCCCCACCAGGACAGGACTGTGATAGAAACCCTGAGGGTCATTTTAAACAGGAAGATAGTGACAGAGAAAAGAGTAGCCTGCTTCATATCCAAACACGTTAGCTGTTCAACAATTTGAAATATTTTATTGAAAGCACCATGGACAATATTTCATTCTTTTAAAAAACAGAAAGTTACAGCCTTAAAAACGAGCATATCTTAAAATGTTTTTCTATCGGTTTGAAATGAATTGTTTCGCTCTCTAAATTTGACTTTTGCCTTCTGCTTTGTAAGGTAGTTTTGTTCTTACACTTACTTTCTTACAGATATTTTAAATTTTCAGCATCATTTTCAGAAATATCTTCCTCTTCTTAAAATGTGCTAGTGTAGGACTTATTGTAATCGTTTCCTCTGGCAGTCTCAGCATCTGAATGGGTGTTTCTGTGTTATTTTGAAAACCTGCCAGTGAAGAGAAATCCTGAAGGTGCTTTTCATGCAGTACTTTCTTTAAGCTCAGTCCTTCCACTCAGAAAACAACATGACTGTGCTCACAGCGCGTACAGCCCAGGCCATGGGCTTTGGTAGGAGTTGCTGCACTGAGAGTTTCGTCAGTCTCAGGAAGTATATACGTTCACTGCGGAGAGCATGGAGAACGGTGTGCTTCCCATTATGACATAAATATGAGATGAATTCACCATCATCATCATCAAAAATATGTGAACTAAAAAACATTTCTGATATCACACAGATTATGTTATTTTTACTTTGGACATCACTGGGAAATGAATTGGAATTATGAGGTACAGCCATAAATGTGCACAATAAGGTTCTAAGGTGCATGGTATAATAACGTGATGGGATATTGTACTGGATATGCATGTGTAAAACTGGATATGCTGGCGTAAATATAACATTCTCAAACTCAAGCTCTGTGAGGGCATAAACAGAATGGAAGGGTTAACACCAAAAAGGATGGTAAGAAACAGGTGAAAGATTAGGAATGAGACCAGATCATCTGGCCCATCTGACCCATTTGGATAATAAGAGCTACTTGTTCTGAGCATCTCATCTGAATGCTTCTTGTAATAAACCAGGGTAGGGTAGACTCCCACAACCCTTTGTGTAAAGAAGTTACACAACCCTTTGTGTTCTCATTTTCAGATGCTCTTTGATGTGTTTTCTACTCCTTAGTTCTTTCTTTCACTGTTGATTCTGAAGACATTCCGCTTGGTTGAATTTATCAATGGCTTCAGGATTTTGAATACTTGGATCAAATTTCCTCATAGATATCTCTGTTCCAAACTAAAAAGGTTCAGCTCTTTTTGCCTGTCAGTGTAGGCCATTTTTTATACCCTGGAATGTATCTGGTTGCTCTTCTCTGGACTGATTCCAGAGCTGCAATTTTTTTTTTGTAACGAGGTGACCAAAACCATGCACATTATTCTAAATAAGGTGTTACTAAAGCTTTGTATTATTTTAGCATAACATTCCTCGATTTGAAATTAAAGACTTTCTGCTGTATATTTGAAAAGTTTACTTTTTATTTCTTCCCTCCATTAGTTAAGACTGTGTGCTTCAAACTAAACAAAGTATGCCAACATATGTGCTGTCACAGACAAAAGTGTTTCAACTCTTAATTTGAAATACCTTTTTTCAGTGTCTCTGTTCAGTTGCAATTTGAAAAGGGAGCTGGCACTGCCTGTCTGTACTGTTCATTTACCTGGAATCTTGGATACAAATCACAAGGCTGAATCAGTGACCTATATTCACAGAAGGTTTAACACAATTTTTATAAAAGAAAATACAACTGAAAGCGGGAGTGCTACAAGTAACAACACATACTGTGTTTCTTTGCATGCGTTTGTTTTAAAGATACAACATATGAGTAAATCATTCCTCAGTTGTTCTGTGGCTTGTGAAGGCATTTACAGATTTCAGGATAAATAATGCTGCTACTAAAATTGTGGAATCAGGCCTGTTTTCAATAAATCCTGTCAAGATATAGTTGACCTAAATTAATTAGTAAGTATCATTGTTTAAAATTAAGTTTGTGAGCAACTGGAATGTACAGTATATTTGTCTTGTTTTGAAGAGCACAATAATGTGAAAGTGACTTTTCTCTTGTGTGGGATGGGATGTCATGTCTGTTTATGAACCTCATGCTCAGCAGTGAACAGTATTATTCAGCATTTGTGAATTTACCAACTATTTAAGTGCTTCTTTCTCTATTTTAAGCCTAAGACTCTTTTTTTGCCTATGTGTTTTTTTTTTGCTTCATGGATTTACTGTGTTGTCTGTTTTGGCTATTCAATCTCCAGACCATCTAGTAGTACTGACCTGAAGATCTCATTCAGCTATTTCTAGAAAGGAGCTAAAGTATTGGTTTCAAATCATAGTGCATAGTTTGTTCCAGACTCCTACAAAGTTTTGTGTAAAGTCAGCCTTCCTGTTTTCAGTTTTATGTGTAGGTTTTCATTAGTTTCCACCTGTGCCCTCTGGTTCATATTTCACTGTTGATTGTGGTTCACTTGGTTCATTTTGTCAGTGACTTTTGAATGCTTCTATTGTGTCCTATGTTTGGCTTCTCTGCTCAAGGTTTAAATGACTCAGTTGTTTTAGCATCAGTGGAGGACATTTCTTTGAGCCTGGTAATGTACCTGGTTGGTGTTCTCTATAGTGATTCCAGAGCATCCTCATCCTCTATTCAACCACTGTGTTAGCTCACAATAAGCACCCTCAGCACATACTGTTTGTTGTACACACTGTGCTGCCTTGTACTCCCTAAGAGCAGTGAACTTTGGAGAGATAACAAATGACAGGAGGCCTTATAGCCCAATTGGTAGCTAATAGCTTCAAGGATCTCATCCAGCTGTTTCTTGAAGGAAACCAGGGTATAAGCTTCAGCAGCATAGCTGGGTAGCTTGTTCTATACTCCCACCAGTCCTCGGGTAAAGAAGACCCTCTTGTTCACAGATTTGAATGCACTTCATCATTGTTTCCATGTGTGTCTTCTGCTTTGTGTTTCAGTGTTGATTGATAAGAAATCCACTTTGTCATTGAGGGTTTTGAAAACTTATCAAATCATGTCCCCTCATAGTTTTCACTGTTCAAGACTAAAAGGGTTTGTTTCCTTCAGCCCAGAAATGTAGCTGGTTGCTCATCTCTAGGCTGATTCCAGAGCAGCAATATCTTTTCTATTACATGGTGACTAAAATGGTGCACAGTGAGGCCTCACTTACCTGCAATTGTGACATGAAATCTCTTGATTTTAATTCTACCCTTATGTACGTGTCTGCACTGTGTTCAAGCTTTACTCATGAATCTTTTCTTTTTTACATTCAGCTCTCCTGGTGGTGGAGACAGAAACATTTGGGAGCCATATCCGAATAAAAGGGAAAGAAAGTGGGTACTACATCTGCATGACCAACAAAGGCAAGATTATTGGAAAGGTAAGCATTTCTGCAGCAGAGACCCTGTACAAGTTTATAGGTGTGTTGACATGGTTGTAATCTTTTTGCTTGTTACTTGAAAAATTAGTTGTTTTTATCTCACATATGTATGCGCAACTTTTTGAAAATTAAAAATGTAATATTTAAATCTGAATGTAACTGTATACTGTATTCCCTCCTGTCAGGGGCATGAGCACTGTGACAACCAACAACATGCCACCCCCACCCACAGCATTTCCCAGCTACACATTTTCACATGTCAATTTCACTGACCTGCAGCTGGATTTTACTTCCACAGTCCGGGGACCATCATTATTTGGTGAGACTATACTGCCCAGAGTCTTCAACGCCAGTGCAAGGCTATGAGCCCAAGATCAGACAGATCAGATTTCAGGACAGAATTCTGCTTGGTCCTCTTACTCCTCTTCACTCTTTCTTATCAACAAGAGGATCTTAAGGAGTGACTTGATCTGAATGCAGACAGACTGCTGGGCTTGAACCGCTAAGTCCTCTCCCTATTTCTGTCTATTTAACAGAAATGACCTCTGGTCCTATGGGCGTCGATTCAGTCCACTCTTCCTCCCTGGGGTGTCACTTCTGTTTCAGGCCACCAGAGGATGCCACCATCCCACTGCTGCCACCAAGCACACTGGGTCTCCAGTCATGAAAGGCATAACTAGCCCTACAACAGCCTTCCAACTGTCACCCACTGTTCCTCAGTTACAGTTTTTTATGTGGTGCTTTAGCTGACCTGTGGCTAGATTATGCTTCGACATTCCTGGGGCTTTGTTGCTCCAAGAGTCTGTACTATACAAAGCCTTCCCCCTTGCACACTTAGAGCTACCATACCTCTAGAACCAGACATCCTACTTTCAGTAAGAGTAGAGGGCGGTTAGATATCTCTATCCATAACCCCTCTGGGATTATCATTAACGTCATTTCCCCTCACAGGACATTTCTTTCATGGTCGTCATCACTCCTCTAGAGGGTGCTTCTACCTTTCTCGTTGTGTTCCCAGCTTTATTTGTCCCAGCTGTTTCCTATCCCCGTTTCCCTATTTAAGCCTGGCATCCCCGTAGTTCTAGGCTCAGGTTTGGAAGACAACCTGCCCACCACTGGGCACAGGAGTGGCCCGAGGGCATAGGCTTCACCACGACGTCCTGACCTCTGAGTCTGGGGCTCGGAGTGCCTTGTCTCGTTATGATTTTAACCTTCCATGTTCCTGGTTCCACGCTCCCATTCCCTGTGTTAACTGTCTTTGTCATGGATGGACCACCCAGCTTTTGGATTATGAACCACGCCCACAATTTTCCCTTCTGGACTTCCTTAAACTCGTTAGCTTACTTCACGCACCCTGAGCACCAGATCACTCAAGTCACCATCCCCTGTCTGTCAGCCTGACCTTACCTTGCTATGCCTTCCCTGATTTCCTCCAGATTCTTCCGGATTATACTGTCACGCATAGGGTCTTAAACTACACATTTAACAGGAGTCAGAACCGGCTTCCTTGACAATTTCTCTATTTCGGATCTGAGAACGAACTTCTCTTCTCCAGGCTGCCTCCCAGGAGCTATCTCTTTCTCAGCTCTGAGTCGCAGACATGGTCCCTGGCTACTGCTTCTCTTTTAACCAATGGATTTATAACCCACAGGGCTCCTTAGCAGCTGTTTTTAACCAATGGATGTATGCTCACAGGTGCATTCTCCCTTTCTTTTCTTTCCTTTCCCTTCCCTTCCTTATGAGAGAAACCCGTGGTCTCTTCTTTCTATACTACGTCTTATACCTGCTTTTTAAACTTGCCCAGCTTATCCTGTTTGGCCAGAGATGCCTTTCAATAACCACCCCTGGTGCTATAAGCGGATTCCTTCACCCTAACCCAGTGGCTGCCTCCTGTGCTCACATCCAAGAGCTTTCACATCCTTTTCCAATGGAGCAAGCTGGCATTTCAGACAGGGAGCCCCCTTGTGTGTTGGGGAGTGGGGGTAAATGCATGGGAAAATACAGAAACTGATAGATTATTCATTGGGAAAGCTAAAAATGCTTCTCATCACCCTGTTTCTTTTTCGTACAAATAACCTAAATAGAGAGGCTGGAATAACCAATTAAATCGATGGATGAGCACTGAAACTGATGTACTGCCTTCAGTGCTGAACTCCCAGATAACTGGTCCTAACCGTGGGGATGTGCTGAGAGACTGCTCTGACTGAGGAGACTCCCCCTGAGTTCCCTTCACAAAGCAAAAGCTAACTGGAATCAGCTGCAGCAGAATGCTGTGACGCAACGTCATGTGAATTGCTGAACTTAGCCCATGTGTAAATTCCTGTACCTGTTTTTTCTTTAAATCACCCTAAAAAGCCCCCCTCCAGATGCCAGAGTGACAGCTGTTCTGGTATACCCTACTAGGGGGTTTAGAGAAAGATGCCTTTTTTGGACACATTTCAAACAGATCATAGACTGCTCAATTCATCAGATAAAAATTAATTGTGATTTGACCTCCATTTAATGTTAGATATTTAATATTATTCTTAGCATAGCAACACTTTGAGTAGGTGTTTTGTTTATCTTTGGAAAATTCAAACTTTAAAAAAAGTATGTTTCTTTTGTGACATCAACCTAGACCAAAAACAGGCTACATGTATTTCGTTTCTGTGTAAACATTTTAAAGTATGCTCCAGACATAGAGCAGATGGTCAATACAGTTTAGAAATGATTCGACCTTGTAAAGGGACAGTTTGATTCTGGAGTCTGTTAGCAAAACTGGAAACGTGTCACAGCTATTGATAACAGCATACTTAATAAATTTTCTTTTGCCTTTGGAATGATTCTCCCACCCTAAAACAATGGACACAAGATTTAAAGTGGTTTTTGGGCAAAGCCCCAAGTACCCTTTAACTTCAGTGGAACTCATTCAGAAATTCCATGGCACAATTTGTCTTAAACTTCACAGAGACACTAAAGTTCAGAGTAAAATACTGAGCCTCAAATTGTTATTTTCAATTTGAAATACCGCATCAGTGAAGGCTTATCTTTTTGTTATCTTATCCATTTGTGACCCAGGTTTTGTAGTTGAAATAAATAAACAAAATGAGTCATAAGAATGAAAATTATAGCATAAGACAAGCAAGATTGCACAATATTCAGCAGGCCGTACTTAGTTATAGTTGGTTGTCTAATTATTGTGTTTGAACAAAAAAGATGTATAATTGACAGATTCTAAAAATTGCATCCTTGAAACTGTTACACAACATTCAATTTGTGTAACCTGCAAAGGAACCACATTATTTAGGCAACACAACAAAATATGACTAGAAACAGATGTAGAATTTATCAGAAAATGCTTTTTTTCCCTCCCCGTTGCAATTAGTAAGCTTTGATCTTGATGAGGTCCAGTGTGGATTAGCACAGCTGAAACAATTCAGAGTTTTTCTTACAGTTCATTTGGAAGCATGACCTAATGCATTTGAGTGCTCCAAATGAAAAGCAAGTATCCTTGTGAACACTCACCTTGATATGTTGATGGATGATATCTGCTTAAAAGATATGAAGGCAAAAATAGAAGTCGCATATTCAATGCTCGGGTTAGGACATATCTGTCCATAAAGAGATACAATTTCAGGTAACTATTTGCAAAAGTTTTGTATGTCAAATAGTACCATAATAAGAAGGAGGGTTGTGGATCTCAATATTGTCACTTGCAAACGCAATTTCACTGGTGAAAAATGCATTGTGATTCTACCACTAATTCACTAGATGGCACTGTGAGGGGGTAATTTATTTGGGTTGGTTTGTAATTTGTAATTTTTTAATTTTAATGAAAGTGTTCTTGAAAAAGCATTTTGATTGGTCCACATCAAAGGTGTTTGCCTCTGTGTCTATTTGGCATACAGTTTGTCTCTGTATGTATAAAGTTCGACACATACATTTTGTGATTAATACAATCAGAAGAGTTCATAATTCTAAAGAAAGCTTCTGAGACAAAACAATGCTTAGTGCCTTTATTAAAAAATCAACAAAACAAGAAAAACTCCTTTATTCAGTCATAAATAGTGCATTCCAATCTTTTCTTTACTTGTTTAATATAGATTAAAGATACTGTAAGAAGACTGGTTTTGAAAGTGTTGGCACATGGAAAGATGTTAGTCTGATACTGTATTGATCACAGTGAAAACAGAAGTGAAATTACAACTTGTTTAGAATCTTGATATCTTTTGCCTTTAATTTGTTTCTGAGATGGACCAGTTCATGGATCTTGAGTATTTTATTTGTCAGACACAAGACTTAATCAGGTTCTGTCATAATCAGATCCCCCTGACATAAGACAGCTTTCTTTGATCATGTCACTCTCCACTTTAATTTGACAGCAAAAACACAATACCAGCAGAATTTACACTTTTGATAACATTTCCCTGACATTTTACACAGCTAATGGTGTTAAGGATGTTTTTTTATGGGTGGAGCTATATAGTCCACTATATAATATAAACAATGACAATACTTAAATGTATGAAATTCTACTTACTAAACAGTATATGTGAATAAACTGGATGGTTACAGGTGTCTTATCTACCACTGTTTTTTCTTGCAGCTTCAAGGGAAGAATCCAGAGTGCGTCTTTGTGGAAGAAGTTCTGGAAAACAACTACACGGCGCTTGTGTCCGCCAAGTATAAAGGCTGGTACCTCGGCTTCAACAGGAAAGGGCGGCCCAAAAAAGGTTCAAGGACTCAGCAGAACCAGCAAGAGGTTCACTTCATGAAACGTCACCCGAAGGGGAAGGTGGACCCTCTCCCGGAATTCCGCTTCACCACGGTGACGAAACGGACTCGCAGGGCCCGGCGCTTGAAGCCCAGCTCCAACTGACAGGCAGGCCGGGAGCCCAGTCGGTGTGCAAGAGACTCGGCCCTCTCGCCTCAGAGTATCACTACAGAACTTTTAAAAAAGATGTTCTATTTTTGTACTTGAGGAGTGTGAAATAACTCCATTCTGCTGGATGATTCTGTTTTTTTTTTATTATTATTTTATTTATACTGGATGGACTGAAACCAAGGTGTTTTTTTGACATCTTTCCATTGCTACTTTTCAAATTGATAACAGAAGAAGAGAAACCTCTGAGGGGTTAACGGAAAGCTCATTCAGACTCACTGTCTTGGTGGAAGCCTCTTCACATTTTGGGATTACCAGTACAAGGATGGATTGTTTTATATCTGCTGGGACTGGACATCATTGAGACCAAAATAGAGAGATACATTAGTGTGTGAGTTTAGTTAACTGCTTAGCTTTAAGTGCAATATTTTATTCAGGCCCTGTTTTTCAAGGTAGTTCTATGAAAAGTGCTTTTGGATCCGCCTAACTCCAATGTGACTAACGGCCATTTCTTCATGGATTGTGTTGAAATTTCTGGTAGCTATGGTGATATTATATCCTCCTGTGACCTAAATGCAGCTCAGTGTAACATGTTCTTGCGTGCCTGGCACGTACAGTAATTGTTGAGGTTATCCAAGTCCCACATTCAAGGAAAACCACTGTTTATGTAATGGGACAAAACCCAGATTACTATTATTGGAATAATAAATTCCTAACAAACAGTAGCTTTTTAATCTTGTACACCTGCGATTAATTGTCTTACATGAGGCACATCGAATCACTGGCCAAGATAACAGCTCCAAGACTATTACTGGACATACCTGTCTAAAATTTCCCACATCTTTAGACAACAGTATTTGACAACATGCAGTCACTTAAAATATGCAGTAGTTTTTTAATAACATTGTTTTTTCTTTTTATTATATATAATTGTTGTCCCGCAGTTTATATAATCCAGAATATTTGAATCATTTCGCTACATTAGGTTAATCCAAATATGTACATGTGGTAAAGACAGTACTTTTTAAAGGAGCAAAGTAGGTGTATACTACTTGATAACTGACTCGACTGTCTAAGGAATAGTCCTCAGCTGATTGTAAAAACAGTACTTTAATAGGACCAAGGAGAATGTTATTAATTTGCTCATGATTACCCAATTAAGTAAAAGCAAATTAATATGAAATAGTTTTCTGCGGAGTAAAACATTTAGCTTATTCCTGCAAAAATTCTGACTGCAAATGACCAAAATGTATTTATTTCTTCTGTGATGATAGCAGAAAAGAATGTGCTTTCAGAACAAAAAAAGGAATTATAATCACTTCTTTTCTGCTTTGTTTCTAAGAGTGTGGTATTCACCTCACTTTAAGTCTCTCAATAGTAAATAAACCTCCTTTTTGTGTCGTTTGTGCCTTAAAATTGGATCACAAGACAATATGAAAATGCTAGTGAATATTTCAGGAGGAACTTAATATCTATTTATAATGTTCCATTCAAGTATTATTTACTTAGCCTTGACATGAAAGGTGCTTGTACTAACTGACCTATTGTACAGTTAAATCCAGTATGTTTAGTGTCTTATATAGTCTTCGTGACACCCAATTACATTATGATTGGTAACAAAATCATGTGAACATTTTTCTTGCTTTTTTTAAAATAACCAAGGACTAAGGGAATAAGAACCAATTTCCATCATTCACTATAGAGTTAGTGGGTGTAGAAAGAGTCTGAGAGGAGGAGAGCTAGCTGTGGCTAGAAGGCCTGTATTCTGCACAGATGCAGCTATTGGTTTAGAATGTATCTAAAGGAGCTTCTCTGTTTCAGAAAATAGATGTTTTTTGTTGCGTTGTTTTTGATGTTATGCCTTCCTGAAAATCTGTAAATTTATTTTTTAAGGAACTGAAATGTTAATCGGCTGACTCCAGTACTGGATTTTTAATCACACAAATGGCCGCAGAATTGGTCGTCAGAGGAAATTGGAGTTGGAGTTTTGGAGTCCACAGAAGGCTCAGTGCCTTGGGGCAGTGATTTTTAACTTTGGGCCTCAATATTGGTAGGGTTGTACTATTTACTCATCTGCCAAGGGGCAGTCTTTATTGTGTATGACTTGCTACTAACAACTTGACAAGTATGATTTAAAATGTATGCGATTTTTTTATGACTATTATAACATATTTATTGCATTTCATTGTAAATACAACCTGATGAATTTATTTGGCCTCTGATAATAAAGTGAGGACTATATTTAAAAAGAGAGCTACAGCTGTGTTTTGTGTACTCTTCTGACCATTCTGATTACTAATACCATGTGATTTGTGTATGGTAGTAATCAATCATTTTTTCCCTTTAAAGTTAGACCTTGGCTTTACCAACTGAAAAGGCTGTTTTACTGCTATGATTAATAGGTAATATTTATGCTAAATAGTACTAATTAACTTGCCTTGAGCAGCTGCTGTAGCAGCTTGAGAAAATGCTGGCACTAAACTGTTGGGAACAACACTAATGTATGTAGTAAATACATTGTGTTACATAACAACAACATAAATGGAAAACACTGGTAAAATAATTAATGGTTGGCTACTTGCTTGATTTAAATTATTTTCAAGGGTTTAATGGGTTACAAACTTACTTCAAAATGTTGATCTCTGAATGTGAACCTGTTTGTTTCTGTCAGTTACTATTATTTCTGTCAGCTGGACCTTTTGTTACTGTAAGAGGAAAAAAAATAAATTTCATAAATCAATATTCACAATCAATAAAAACTGTAAGAAACTAATTAAAAATTGTAATTAAAAAATGTTGAAATAGTAAAACAACAATCTATTTAGATATGACCAAATTATATTTTATTTACAAAACTACTTTTACTTAGTTTGCCTACCAAGATCAACATTTTCTGCAGGATTCTGGTGATTGTAGTTTAACCGAAGTGATATTCAGCCTTGATAAAACTACCCAAGACAAAAGTATTTACAAATACATTTGCAAAGGTCTCATATGCCCCCAAATAAAATCGTGAGTAATAACAGTCTGGTCTTGTTGTGTCTGTTAGAGTCAAAGTCAACAGATTTCCTTTGCTGGATATAGAATGGAATTGGTATTCCACAAATACCAATGCCTTCAGTGGTGGCCTTTGAGTTCAATGTAACTGACAGAAAGCAATTGTTTAAATCCTTCATGGACAATCTGTTGAAGCACACAGGGGGTTCTGAGCTGGATGCCCCAGGCATTAATGCTTTGCCTTTTCTTCTGTGCGGTTTGCTCATATGCACCTTATTTTCTGCATGAACCCTGCTGCAGTGGTGAATTAGCAAAACACTGCTAACTGGGGAATAGGTTTGTTGATTAAACAGGACAGGTATAGGTTTAGGGGGATCCAGTTGATGTAATGTTTTATTTTGATAAAAAGAGCTTGAAACATTTTGACAAGTGTTACAGTAGAACAGAACTGGCAATAGACTTGCAAAAAGGAAGTGCTCAGGTTACAAGGATGCAGAAGGCTGTTTCAAAAACCCAAAGATTTAATATACTTAAAGTGTGACATACAGTATTTGGTGGATAAATGAGTAGGTATTTTTGGACATCAGGCCTTAAGGAAGAACTTCTGTTTTCTATTATTGTTCACTTAAATACATGTGCATTTTATTCAAGAACATATATATGCTTACACATGTATGTATGGAGGACAATTGTATGGTTGTATATGGAAAGAAGTGGTCATGAATGTAATAAAAGAACAAGTAATAGGTTTATTCCATGCTGAAAAGAGTAGAGAGAAAAATCAACGTTTCGGCTCTGAAGCCTTCTTCAGGTGCTCACACCTGAAGAAGGCTTCAGAGCTGAAACGTTGTGTTTTCTCAACCTCACACCTGAAGAAGGCTTCACAGCTGAAACGTTGTGTTTTCTGTCTTCTGTTTTCAGCATGGGATTAACCTATTACTTGTTTGTTTGCAGCCTACGCATGCTGACGCAGCTACCCACTTGAACTACCCACCTGAACTACTTCAACCCACATGAATGTAATAATGCCATTTGAGTACATTAAACAGAATGAGCATGGCATGATGGGTTAATATGTATAACAGTGTTTCATAATTAGTTTTAACTGATCCACTTTTCATAATTCTTGTTTCAGACACATACACACTTTGCCCCCCAGGATAAACTAAAAATCTATTTATACATTTCCTAGTACAGATTATAAAAACTGCAAATGCCACTGAGGACAGACTTATAATGATCTTTTATCCAGCAGATGCTTGTTTTACCATCTCTGTATGAGCAAGAAAGAATCACTTCATTCCCTTCTATTTAAGACATTGCCTATGACAGGATGGTAAATTAAAGAACCATATTTGGAATTTACTGCAAGAATTGCATTGCTGTAATCTGTAAGTAATTGTTAACATTTTTATGCCAGCTGTTATCAAAGGGTTCATGATTGCATTGGATGGAGAACATGACACAGGACAGCATTTTTCAAACCTGCTTAAATTGCTTCAACTCACAGATTTCCAAAAACAATTGTGTGACAGGGTTTACAGCTTGTTCCATTTTCATATTAGTGTCTAACAATTAACATTGATCGATGTGTAGCTCAAACATTTTACTGCAGAAGGATTTGTGAAATGAATAAGATATGGAAATATTTAAGATTTTTAAATTGCATAGGAAAGAATTAATGAAGACAATTATATTTAAATAATTTTGAAGCTAAAATTGTTGTGAATTGTTTCATCTAATTTACATTTTTATAATTTGATTTAGTTCTTTTTACATTGAAATTTACTTTCGGATGATGCGTCCGCCATTCACTGTTCACCTAAGTAACATATGCTAGAGCACAGTCAAGCAATAGGTCCCAAATAACGCAATGCTGATTGATTATAATTAAACACAGCCTGCTGCCAACAGTTTAATGATTATTCCCAGCTGAGTAGTTTTTTTTCTAGACTTATTCTTAAAATTGCTGTATTCTTCTAAGAAAATTAGTACTTGGACTCTTGACAGAATTGAGTTCACAGGGTCATTACGTAATATTTATCACAACGTGCAGTTTTTTCTTTGAACTTGTAATTAATTCTACAAGTATTTACAATAAATTACCATCTTAATCATTGTGACTCCCCCAGAAGGTATAAAACATTCTACCATAAGGCTGATTGGAAATAAAACTTTGAGTTAAGTTAGAGTGGCAAAGTTGTCTTTATTCCATACTAACAGGCTCATATTCCTTCACCTTAGGTCAAGACCTGATCTGCAGGAATTGCTCTATGTTTTTGGATAGATTCCAGCATTGCATTATGGTTTAAGAGCACTAAGACAGTGATGTGTCTCCAATGCATAATGTGTATAGTGTTATATACTCAAATATTCTCACGTTTTCATTGAACGTCGTGAACATCTCAGTAGAGGTAGCAAACAGCGTAGACATCAACGTTTCGAGTCGACAGAGTACCCATGCTGCCATCAGTAGCTGGTGTAAAAACCAATGCTCCAGACATCCCACCCTTCTTCCTGGTAATTTGCACATCCAAAGCCTTGGCCCTGAACTTTGTTTGTGCAACTGTTAAGAACCTCCTGTAACACCACACTGTTTTCAGAAACTACAAAACAACATGCTTGGGATCATGTTTGTCTGTGTTCCCAGGAAGTGACAGAACTGTATAAAATAGTAATAACAGCTTGCAATGTGCTATACAATAAAAATGAGTGTGTTCGAGCAGTGAAAGAGATGACAGGTTCTGTATACAGGTAAGGGACACTGGAGGATCCAGCTGGATCAACTAGAACCCATCCCCTCAAAGAGGCTTTCTGTACAGTTGCAATAGTACTAAATGTATGCTAACTTATAGTTAGTGAATGTGCCATTCACATACATTTTCATATGGATTTTTCAGCCCTTCAGCACATTGGTCTGAGATGCAGTTTTATTAAATCCCCCCTTTATCAACTATCCAATCAAAATTAGTGGTTGGTATTGTGAAGGGTTACTATTTTACAATTTTACAAAATAATTTATTTGAAAGAAAAAAAGTGTCAGTGTGTTTTAAGCCTATTAGACCAGAAAGACATCATCATGAATCACATGAATCAAAATAAACCTCCAGCATGATATACAGTACTTCTAATTTATATTTAACTGTACCAATGATCCTTTAAAACAGATCAAACTTAAATGTTTAGTTGTGGGCTTTGAAGAGAGAAGTATTAAATAAGAGCAAATCACAACATTTTCTGTTATATGTTTTAACCTTATTATAATGCATGAAGAATGTTTTTAAAAAATTCCACACCTATTATTTAAACATATACAGTAAGCATCTGAATCAAGTCTCTTTTTTAAAAGTTTTCCGTTCCCTGTTCAGCAGAAACATGACTTAACCTTTAAACAAACTTCAAATGCATTTTGTTCTTGGTTCTCAAAGAAGTGGGTCTTGCGGTGTCTTTGTGTGGCTGGTTTCAGTTCTGCTGGTCTTATTAAACTCTTGTTTTTTTTTTTAAATCCCTCTGGCACAGTAGGACACCTTTATGAAAAACAAGAAGCGTGTCCTCACTATACACCAGCCACACACCTTTGACCCTGAACTGTGGTTGGGAAGCATGTAAAAAATCTTTTGACACAAAGACAGACAAGGAGGAGTAGATTCCAGCTGTGGGGAAGGAAGCATTATTTTTCAAAGTGTCAATAGCTGACGAAAAAGGCCGGAATGCTTGCAGAATTCGCTCACAAACCTCCCTGAACCATTGTCCCCTGACTGCTATTCTCCAGCTTTTAAGTAACTCAGGTTAAGACTTCATGCTTTCTACTTAGAGCTTCCAAATGTTTGGATGTAACTCACAATTTTTTTTTTGGTACAACTTTCTTAAAATTTGTGGGTCTCCTGTTTGCAAACATATATTGGAAGCATTTTTTCCCTTTCAAGAAAATGGATCAGGAATGTGGAACAGCATTCCAGAGCCTCAGTAACGGACTTAAAATGTTTTGTGCTCGGATAGAGTGTTTACAGTAGCCGTCAGACTGAAAGATGGCAGTTTTGGGAAAAAAATGTCTTTTGTTTAAGTTCCCACTGATGCTATCAGACATGGAATCGTCCAACTACCTACATCAGGGAAAGATTCTGGTCTGTTACTGTTTTGGAAAGTCTAATAATCTGACATCTTTTTAGGGTTAAAAATATACCACATGACATAAAGGCCACAACTAACTGAGACAGACTTCACATAACTCAAAATAGCAGTCAGCGAGA